TGTAGGGTAGAAAATGATAAATGATAAAAATTCCTGAATTATTTATTTTCTACCTAAGCAAAACTAACAGCCAGCTGGGAAACCCATTCCCTGTCAATATTAGGTCACCACCACTTTCCTTGGAAATTCTCAGATCCTGGAGTGACTTTTGTTCCTATTTATTTTCAGTCAGTCTTACATGAACAAAGGGATTTTTAGTCTATTAAGCCCCATGTGCTCAATCCACCACTAGAAGGTATAATGTGTGATGGTGTTTCAGGAGAAGAGCAGGTTTCTTGACATTGTCCTGGATTCCTGAACAAACAAACAAAGATCAGTGCTATACAACAGCAGTTTCCTAAATTCTACACACTAACAGGCTGCAGCCCTGTTAGTGTGGGTTGGGGCTGGGTAAGCTCCTATTCGCTGGGCATAATGTTCAGTAAACTTGCTTCTAAAACTGCCACTGCAAGCAACCAGAGGAGAAGCAGATACCCAGTTATAACTAGCCTTTGTCTCCTGATATCAGCTCTGTTCATTGGCATTATACACTAAAGGCCCAGGCATATAAATATAGCACTACTTACTCTGAACAGCCTCTTCATTCATTGTACACAAGGATTTCCAAACCTCAGCTGAAAGAATCAAACTCTGGTCCTTGGAATAGATAAGAGAATCAAATAGATGAATGAACAAATAAAGAAATAAACTACCTGGGGTGGTATTAGGCAGGTGACTCATCCAACCAATGTCCCTTTAACGAGACTGAAGTCCTCTTTGTAAAATTAATTCCCCTCTGGATTATTGTCTCCCAGAGCAATAACACAACTCCAGCTAACATTTAAACAAAGGGATATTCTATTTGACAAATCAACAGATAGCATGTTTGCCTCCTGCAGTTATAAGTCATCCATTCGAGACCCAGCTGAGGGAGGCCAGATGTCACAGGATAACTACGAGGATTAACCTTTGAGAAAACAAAAGATATTAAGAAACCATCTAGGTAGGAGCTACCCCAGAAGGAATAAGCAGTTAGTTCAGTATCCATCCTCATTCTACCCTCGGCCTCTCAGCTGCCATTGGTATCAAGCATCCCACTGAGCGCTCACAGGGACAGTGTAGGATTTTTTAAATGTAGAGACCTGCTCATCAGAGGTAAGACTGTGAATACTGTTTTGTGTCACCAAAGTGTAGCCAGCTGGAAAAGACTTCTCATCGCAACTTAACTCCAGCTTGTGGCCTAGGTTCGAAAGCCTCCGCAACCCATCTCCAAACCCTTTAACTTGCCAGTCCTCCCCCTTTCCCCCACTTCTGTCAAGTGCCCATTTTTAATGCCTAGGGAAATGCAGATACCAAATGTATGGACACACGTTGCTGAGAGAACACTCAAAGTGGAGGACAGTGGTGTTGCTGCTACTATCTATCACCCATTTATGTTACCATGATCAGGTATGTTCATGCCATTTTATGTTAAATCTGGTTCAGGTTAACTGTGAAACTGGCCTAAGCCTCCTGAATTAACTATAGCTTGAACCGGTACACATACCAATTCAATTACTTATATAGTACCATGGGGCTTTACCTTTCTTTGGAGGAAGACTCGGATTGTAATGTGGGGTTGGGATGCGTTCTACTTCAAAGTGTTCACTATGTTCCTCCTGACAAGAAAGTCCCTCACCAGCTTTAATGAAGCAAGTGGAAACGCTGGTTGTCTCAGAGAAACAGTGAACCCAGAGAAAGTACAAGAGAACCCAGTGAATTATATTTTAGTCAGTTACGCCCACTCTCTCTTTATTCAAGTCTTAATCGGCTTGGGCTAATGTACCATGTATGACTGTACATGCATTTGCTGATCCTTCACAGTCTCGAAGCTCAGTTACTAGTGTGACACTGGAGCCCATATTCCTCAGTGATATGATTAGGACATAATAATGATGTATTCTATGCAAGATAAGTCATGTGAGGCGTCATTGGAAAAGGTATTATTTGCTGAATATTATTATCCTAGTTGTATGCATGTATCATTTTTGTATCTGAAGTTATGAATATTGACTATGTATCTATATTTCAAATGTAGTTACACCTGGGTAATGCCCACTAGACAAGATGCTTTCAGTCTAGATAGTGGGTGGGCAAGGGCCTATTCAGGGCAATGAGCCATTAGGAAAAAACAACAGGCCTCAGGAGAAGCTTATCTTCCACCTGCGGAGCCTTCCTAAGAACGCTACAGACAGCCTGTGAGTGACGGCTGCTATGACTCTACAAGGACATGTGATGATACCACATGTCTCTAGACTCCATCTTGGGAGGTCAGTATTTTTCCACAGACTGGTCTGGTGACCAAGCTTTGGGAACAAAGGGTTCCCACCATTTGTAAAAGCCATATAAGGCGGGGAGTGACATCATCTGGGGTTCTTCACTCCCCACACAAGACGACTCCTGGAAACACTTGAGGAACAAAGACTGAACTGGGGGAAGTGCTGGATCCAGGCTAAAGGGATTTTTAGCCTGTGAATGAAATACCTGGGCTATAAAACTATAAAGCAAGTGCAGCTTGCCCCTTAAGAATCTGCAGCCTGCGTGTATCATCTCTTAGGGTGAGAATCTGCTATTCATATACAGTCTATGTAGTATATTAATCTTAGTTTGTGTTTTTTGTTTATTTGCTAGGTAATCTGCTTTGATCTGTTTGCTATCACTTATAATCACTAAAAAAATCTCTTTTGTAGTTAATCAACTTGTTTTTGCTTTATCTAAACCAGTGAGTTGGAATGAAGTGTATGAATCTTAGCTCAGGGGCAAAAGGCTGTTGCATATTCCTCTCCACATTGAGGGAGGGGGTGAATTTTATGAGCTTACACTGTACAGTTCCCTGTGCAGTGTAAAACGGTATAATTTGGGGTTTATTCTCCGGGGGGGTGCATGCCTGAGGAGCGGGTCAGAGAGCCTGCTTGTAACTGCAGCTGGGTGTGTCCCTCCCTGTATGTATGCTGGTGAAAGTGCAGGTTGGAGGACTTTGCAGACTTTGGAGGACACAGCAGCACAGTATGAGAGGGAGCCCAGGCTGGTGGGTCAGGGGCCCTCAGTGGTACCCCCGTCCCAAGTGGCACCCTGGGGAGAACCCGTCACAACTAGTTGCTGCAAGGACTAGCTACGACACTTGACTAACTCATTCTTTAATTAAACCAAAAAACTTCCCACAGAGATAGCTGACCTTTTGGGAAGTAATAAACCAAATATCAGTTCGGGACAGAGGAAAAGCACTGAAGGATCTCTCTTACTTCACTTGTGCCTTGGCCTAGAACTGCCAATGTGTGAGGTTCCCCAGCTATTAGCTGGCTCCCAGAGCAAACAACATATTACAAGAGTCTCCCATTAAGCTGCCAGGCTTATCATATTTGGATATTCTTGCACATTACAGCAGCTGAACTATGACCCGTGTGATCTAAAGGCAGCAGTTCTAAGAGGTTGGGAACCAACCAAACCAGTGGGAGCGATGCAAAGCTCCTCTTCACTGGAAGGCACTATCTTGCACCACTATACAAGGTTGTCTGCTTTGTACCCAGATATTGTACAGAGATAGCTCAGGATTGGCTCATGTCTGAACAGCCATTTCTTTCTGACTATGGCAGCTCGATTCATTCCTAGTCTATCCTGCAGAAGAGACCATGCCTAGATAAAGACACTTCTCAAGCCTTTTCTCAGGAGCTCCATATATGGACAGGCCAAGTTTTGGTACAGTAGGAGCTACGGCAAAGAGGTGAGAGGGCTGCAGAGCAATGCATCACAGATCATCATCATCATGGTAAATCCCAAAGGGATGTGGCATCCTTGCAGATCCTTGCAGATCGAGGGCCACCCAAAGGTGGTCTGGCTGGATATTCAGTTTCTGTCCATCATTGGCAGTCTTACTGTGCCACTGAACTTTTGGCGCCTAGATGCATGATCACCGGCCATGTAGAAGCACACCTTGGTACAAACGCTTCACAATTCATTGGTCTTCCATTTTATTAGTATGTCCATACCAAGAAAGCTGCCGATACAGAACTAGCGCTGATGGACACAGTTACTGGGTTTAGCTTTGAATATCCTAATTTCTGATCTTGTCCTGCTACTTAATATGGAGCTGCTGACAAGGACAATGAGAATCAAAGACGCCAATCTGGTGTTCTTCAGCCTTCTGTGATCAATACATTCATGTCAAGAAGATGTTTATGCTGAAGTTGACCCAACTGTGACAATCTGGTCAATTGTCCTTATAGCTGAAATAGCCAAGAGTTTCTCTACCACTGAGGCAAAAATGACCAATGCAGCCTTGTGAAATGGCTAATCTGTTATTCTGCATGTTAGCGCCAAATCCATCATAAATAGAGCTCCTTATTTATGTCCTCTAAAAACTAAAAAAAAATTGTTAGTCTGAGATCCCCCTAAAAGAATTTTTAGCTCAGAGGATTCCAGAAATCTGTGATATAATTCACTGTGCATGATACACAAAGTAAGGAAGTTTACACAGAGTATTTATTTTTCCATTTAAAATACTGATCTTCTAAATATATGTGAATTGGTATGAAGTGACTGATGCTGTTCACAGAATACCGACAGGAAATAAAGCCTGTTTTCTTAAAGGGAAACTGGAAATCATTTAACAGCAGCCACACAGTCTACTGCTGAAAGGAGTGTAAGCCGGAGGTGCTTCAGTCGTGGAATATAGCTTTTCAATTCAGGGTGTTGCTTTGTTTTTGAAAATGGAGTTGTTCGTTTTGTACTGTAGCGACATGTGACCCTGTGAACACACCATCGTAATGCCCTATTAGCTCCCCGCAGCTCTTGTAACCGGGGATGGGCAAACCTCAAAATGTTCAGAAGTTCAATTTGCATGAGTAGGGACACTTCCAAACCTTCCTGCAGTATTGGCTGGAATAACACAAGAAGTGCCTCTCACACAGGACTGCCAGCACTCCGTTCCAGGGAGGCCAGATTTACCCCCAAAACAGCCAACTTTGAAGTACATTTAGGCTTCTGACCAATAATCAAAAACCAACCTCACAAGGTATAGGCACAGACACTGAGCTACCATGGTGATGAGTGCACAATCAGAACGTGAGTAAAACAGACAGGTTGCACGGTAAAGTCTATGGTAGAATATTGTCTATGGTAGAATTATTCTACCATAGACAAAATATTCACACTGGTTTCTCAAGTCACTACAGGAGAACAATGGTGCAGCTATAACCCCAGTGAGGGTGCTAGTTCTCCACTACACCAAACCAGCAGCATGATTCTGCGTCCTTTGGCTTTATAAGTGCCTTTAGGCCACCTATGTAGAGGGCTACCAGCATTCACAACGCTTTACAGTATCCGAACAGTTCCAAAACAAACCAGCAAGCACCTGCCCCAAGGAGCAAACAGTCTAAAGACACAATAAGTACAACAAAGGATAGCAAGATAATGGACACAGACTGTCAAATGGCATGTGCTCTTCACCAGAGGAACATAGCTTTCAGAAGTCTATGTAGAGGGAGGAGGTTATGAGTGGAATATCACCACTGCAGGGAAGAGGACATAGAAGTCCAGTCCAGGACTTCACTCTGTCACAAAGGAAAGAATTAGCTAACGAAGCCCATATTAGTGACAGGCAGGGAGAGGCTCCTAGTCCAACATTTACATTGTTTAATTCATTTCGAATAATTCATTAGCAAGCACTTTTCACCTCCGACAGTCACAGGTAAATTCCAGGCTGATGTTTTGTGCCTCTCGCTAGCCGCACCAGAGAGATTTAATCTGTTTATCAGTCACTAATTAAATCTTCCAGAGTGATTAATTTGTTGAGATTAGTTTGCATCTTTTTGGATGCAGATTCACCTCTGGAGTATTGTATTGTTT